CTACTTTCTTTTGCATTAAACCTTGTTCCGTCCTTGACCTTAACTTGTACCATTAAGAATGAAACATAGCTTGATCCAAAAGAAAATATGGCTGCAGTTTTTAATCTTATATCATAAACTCAATTATGATGCAAGGCATACTGATTCAATTAAGAGAGAAATTAAGACATTGGAGAGAAATGTTAAAAGAATGTCCAAGGTGGGAGAGTCCTAGAAACTCGCATGAACTGGAGTTGTTCCAGTTGTATCAAAAAATCTCGACGGTTCTAAACGCCACAATCACATACGAGAAACTAGGTAGTCTAAATGGCAAAATGTACGAGAAACTAGGGAGTCGAAATAACCTAATAACATATGGGAAACTACTCACAAAACATACTTAAATATGGGCATAAGTTGCAACATAAGAATATGCCGAAAAGGGACAATCGCGACTATTTACAAGCCTGTATGAGTGCTGGATTGACAAGCTTTGGACAAACAAATAGCAAAAGAACTAAAACTTGTTTTAAATAATACAACGTGTCGTGCTTGTATGATGATCTAAAGTAAGTTGCTTTAAAACAGATGGATCTTTCCTTCCAAATCTTGGAATTAAAGAATAAAGCATGAGAAACCAGTGACGAAGACAGCGAAGTCGCCAAAAATGGTATAATTGTGCTTTAGTTTTGCAATTCTTTCTATCATTAAATAGCAAAATCTAAACCATGTTATGTTAATGCTTTAGTTAATTAGCATCTATTAAAGTCTCATTCTTATTATCATTCTTTTTTAGATTCGTAAATGTGTAAGTGTAACTAGTGCAATGCATACCATGATTTATTTTTTATATCCGTCCTAATGGTTTATTAAAAAGTGAAAAGAAGATAAATCACTTGAATAAGAGATGGAGTCATTCAAATTTGGAAGAATAAAATTAAGAGGACATATCCCCATGTACATCTAGATCATATTGAAACAAGACAACCATTTTATTTTGTAATTTTGATTTTGGTATCTAATTCTTCACTTCTCATGACACTCTACTTACAACGGGTCTAATGTAAATGCAATATAAGAAAACTTGAAGAAAACATAGACATTGAGCAAGAACAATGATCTAAAAACAGTATATAGAGTTGAAAATACTAGTGTCTTGTATGAAACTTCTAAACATATTAATATAACAAGTTTGTCTCCGACATTGTATTGGTTTTAGATTATTAGTTCTAATTGGTTAGCCTCTTAAGTTATTTTTGCTAGTGTAGGCGACTGTTTGTTGAACTTCTCTTCTAGCTTTTCATGTATTATTGTCACTCTCACTCTTTCATCTTTATATAGCAAAACCCAAATAACCTACCAAACTGTTTTCACGATTTATGCAATCAAACTACAAATTAACCAATGAAATCGAAATCTTCCCATTAGAAAACCAATACATCTACCAAACCCGTTACACAATTAAAGTAATAAAACCAATTTTCCAGTTTTAATTTCCTCAATAACCCAGTTCAGATCACACCATAAAAATCTAATCAAACACCTCTCACGCAACAGGATTAACAGATCGAACACACGAAGTACACAAAATTGCAAACAAAATCACAAAAACCAATTCAAAAAAGGAAAATTCCGGAAATTAAAATTGAAAAAGAAGAAAATTAAAATCTAAAACCACAAATAGAAGAAATAAGTTATTTCCTCGTACCTGTCTAATTCCTCTGTAATCTGAGAAGGAAAAGGCGACGAAAGGACTTTGAAAACGGAAAACAAAAGAGAAAAAATGAAAACGGAAGACGAAAAGAGAAAAAAAAATGAAAAAAGAAACAGAAAAAAATGCAAATTTTGGAGTATATATTTAGGGGTTTTCACGGAAAATCAAAAATAGGTCTTTTCGTCTAATCTTAAATCTTAATCCCGTTCGTTGTAAGGAAGAAAGTAAACTGATTATTAGGATGAAAAACAAAATTATTAAGTTATTTTAATAAAATTATATGTTTTTATATAAATTTAAAACCATATCGAATAATTAGAATAGGTCTAAATTTTATAAAAATAAATCGGAACCGTACCGGATAAGTTTATATATTAAAAAATATATTTTATATATTAAGTTTAAAAAAAATATAGTAAAAAAAATTGTTGGGCCTTGAAATTATGGAAACGACTACAAGCTATAACAGGTAATTAACACTCAAAATCTCTAACTTTCAAACGTATTCGGATACTCCTATTGAAACTAACTAGTTTTCGAACACGTGCGTTGCACGTGTATCTCATACCAATTAGTACATATATTTTAAAAGAACTCTTATAAGAGAAAGGAAAACCTATTTCAATATCAAAAACCTTTAGGAAAAAATATTTTAAAATGTAAATATATTAAAATAAAGGCATACAGTTTGTGTGTGATTCTTAACATTAGGTAAAATCTCTTGTACTGTCACCATACTATCATCAATTTATTGTTGAAGTTTCACCTTTCCAAAAATGAACAAATAAGAGAAACGGAAAATAAATGAGTATATGTTAAATGAAATATTCATTGGGAAAGAATAAGTAGATGTTAGGGAAATACATAATCAACTAAAGAAAAAAAAAAATTATGATTCTAAAGCAAAACGTGATTTACTATTCACTGGGATTTAACAGAAAATGATTTATAATAAAAGTAACAAAAAGCTAATGAGAAGGAATTTATTTGTATATGTAATGAGACCTTCTTTTATATTTCCTATCCGATGTTTCACTAATTAATTCGGATTTGCACCATAAAATTTTACTTTAAGAGTTGCTTATCAAAGAGGACTTCATTCTTAGTCTTTAAATCCAGATCTTTGATTAAGAATAGATGAGTACTTACTATTCTACCATCGTCTAGTAGTAAATAGGTGGTCCTCATATACCATAAAAGGTCAAACTCCTAACATTGCTTCTGTTTCTTTTGGCAGAATGAGTAAATAAACACACTAAAAAATAGGTGTAGATACGTTTTGTCTGTTGGAGATGGAATCAGATGAATTATTGAATTTGGTTCAACTTATGCTTTTAAAAATAATTCAAGATGAGAGAATACTTACGCACACTGATTTGCATAACTGTTGGAAATTCAAATGAAAGACACTCCAACGGTTTAGATGATGAAAGTAATTAAAGTAACTGCAGTAATGGGTGAAAGTCCAAGCAATAGTATATATATAATTGACATGTAAGTTTTTTGTTCTGTAACAAAGATATATAAAAGGACAGTCTGGTGCACTAAGCTCCCATTATGCGCTGCCACAAATATATATACATATTGAAATATAATTCAAGTTAAGGGTAAAATGGTCTATCAGCTTTTGATTGACATTTCGATAATTTAATTTTAACTTTGAAGCTTCCCACTTATAATATAGTATGATTTTGGTTTTTATGAGAAAACTGATATAACTAATGGATAATGAAGTGATCTAAACTTATACATTTTATAAAGTGACAGAAAGGATTACAAAGGGTGGAAGATAAAGGAGCAAAAGTTAAAGCTAAGACGTGAAATTTTTTCAATAAACGTGTAGTTATAATTTATCATTTAATAGAATTTCCATTTAATCACATTCATGTACCTATTAAAGTATTTAATATGAGGTCACTTTTTAATGGTCAAGGTCAAAGGGCTTCTATGTGTTTATTTCAATTAAACTTTTTAAATTAATTTTGTTTAAATGTGTATTGACGTTTTTAGACAAAATTTATTTAAAGAAATATTATGTTGAAGGATATTGATCACGCCCAACTATGCCCTCTAAAAAGGACTCTGCGGACGTTGCAAATATAACCCGAGTATTACGCCCAGGGTCGAACCACAGAGAGTTAACCTATCAATCACTATCTTTAGACCCACTAAACTCTTCAGAACCAGTTTCCCAGATGTTTGAATCATAGTTGAAGGTCGCTTTACTAACTACGATTGCAAGTAAATTAAACAGCTGTAAATTAAAATGCTAAGGTTGTAAACAATAATGAGAAGAAGTTAAGGCAATGATTTCCCCTATTGAAGGAGTCCCTTCTGTTTATGCTCATACAAATTTACCAACACATCTCTATCAATCATGAACGCTCATCTTACCGTAAATCTCTCCCGAGTAATTACAGTAATATACTAATTGCACTCTCCCGAGATACACTAGCTTACTTTATTTCGCACAATTCACTTTAGATTACACCCAAGGCTTCGTTATCCCTAATCTCACCTTTAAACCTGCAATTATAGATTCCTCTTATACTTTGGGAGTAGTGTTGTTCAACAATAACCTAAATATGCACCCTTTTCCAAGTTATGCACACTAAATAGGCACAGCTAATTGAGGATCCTGTCAATTAACTACAACAAGCACAAAGTTGAACAAATGGAGATTGAAACTAGCAATTTGTATTCACATAAACAAGATGTTCATCCCCCAATAGGTTCCATCAAAGCCTTAGACAAAGGATTTAGCTACTCATGGCTATGGGAAAACAAACTAAGATAGAATTCATCATAACTAGCAATAAAAATCAAAGAAAAGAAGAAAGATGTTTTGGGTGATCTCTCACAATTGTTTTTCCTTGCCAAGATACCCTAAAATTCAATACATGCCTCTCTTGGGCGAAGTCTCGTATTTAAAATAGGGTTTAGGTCTAAAAATCCCGTGTTTTACACTTTAGTCCCTGAAGTTTTCTGCTTTCGCCGCGGTTCTGCCGCGGTCGCGGTCAAACCGCGGCCAAATGCCTTCTCTGAATCTCATTTTATCCGCAGCTATCTTCCACCGCGGTTCTACCGCGGTCGCGGTGGAACCGCGGTCAATACAGTTCTCTGAATCTTCAGGCCTGTTTTGCGTGGTTTCAGAGGCAGATCTAGGAATTGAAGTGTATGGGTTCCTACCACAACTTCAAGTCAATATATCATAACAGTCGAACTAAGAAACAAGTATCAATATTCAACGTATGTTTACAAAATAACAAAATACTTAAAGACAACATATAAAATATAAATATTCTCATCACAATTGTACTCGACGACTTGTCATGTTTTGAAAATGATCAATGATCATATCATTAGGTACACTTTCAAATACTTCATCCTCTATATAACAAACTAAACAATCATTCAAAAATTCATTACCGATTCTGCTTCGCAAGTCACTTTTAACGTACTTCATCGAAGAAAAAGCCCTTTCCACCGTTGCAGTAGCGACAGGCAATATCAAACTTAACTTCACAAGCAAATAAACAAGTCTCCAAGTCATGTGCAAATTTGTTTTAACCATTGTCTCTGAAAGATCTCCAAGGCTTTTCAAGTTAGAGAATTCATTGCCCGCCTCTCGCACATAGTCAATATAGATGTCAAGCTCAAAACCAAGATCCTCAAGTATAGAATTAGTAAACTCATCCGGATAGTGTGTTGCAAGTTTCATAATCCTGTCTTTATCATAATTTGCAAAAGAATTATCTGGACTCAAACTAGCCATACCAAGAAGTAGATCAGTATTCACTTCACTGAAACGACTATTAAGCTCCGAAAGTTGCAAATCAATAACAGTATAGAAAACCTCTACACGCAAATGATAAGAATATGTAACACTTGATTTCTTACGCTTCGACTTTCCACGATAATAATTCATATCCATTTCGGGGATTACAATATCATGCTTGACACAAAACAAAGAGACTTCTTCTACCAAAGAATTCCATCCAGATTCTCTCATAACTTGCAATTGTCTCTTTGCAAAATCAACAAGCTTCATGGCACTTACAATATCTTGATCTTTTTTTTGCAAAGCCATATTTAAATCAAATGTAAGTGCCAATACTTTCAACATTAAATGCAATATATACAGAAACTCATATGATCTTATGTCGTCCACTAGACTTTTTGCCATTGATCTCTCATGATAATTTGAACCCTCAATTGAAAGAACTCCAAGTACATGAACAATTGATGAGAATAAACTAATAAAATTGCGCACTGTCTTAAAATGAGAACCCCAGCGAGTATCACCTGCCCTTTGAAGTCCAAGTTCTTGATTTAATCCGCTGCCCGTATGAACTTCACCAAGCACTAGTAGTTCCTCCAGCTTTTCTGCTTGATCATCTCGAAGCATCTCCCTGCGCTTAAAAGAACCTCCAACAATATTTAAAACATTTGCAAGAATATCAAAAAATTGTTCTGCCTCATAATGTTTCTTTGCAACAGCCACAAGAGTCAATTGCAATTGATGAGCAAAACAATGTATGCAATGTGCCGAAGGAGTATCATTCATAATCAAAGTCTTAAGGCCATTAATTTCACCCTGCATGTTACTAGCTCCATCATAGCCCTGTCCCCGTATTTGAGATTTACTCAATGAATGTTCCAAAAGCAAAGAACAAATTGCTTCTTTCAATGACTTTGCAGATGTATCTTTAACATGAACAATGCTAAGGAATCGCTCAATAACTTTACCCTCTTTATTGACATAACGCAAAACAAGCGCCATTTGTTCTTTATGAGAGACATCCTTAGACTCATCAACCAATATCCCAAAGTAATCACCATTCAAGTCTTTAATAATTGCCTTCAATGTTTCTTTTGCACAAGATCTATACTTGGACAAATCATGATATCATTTTTTGGAGCATTTTCTAGCACGACCTTTTTTACATCTTCCTTCTTATCGGCATACCACTTTAAGAGATCTAAGAAGTTGCCTCTTCTTGTAGAAGTTTCACTCTCATCGTGACCTCAAAAAGGCATTCCTTCCTTCAAAAGATACCTTGCAACATCAATTGAGGCATTCAACCGAACTCGATACTCAATTTTAGCTTTCTCGGATTGTTTGTCAAAAGAAGTTATAATAGACTGTGCTTGATTCAATAAATCTAACATCATCTTAAAACATCGATTATGAACACTATTCACTTCACCCACATGTGCATTAAGCCTTTCTATACCTTTATTCCAAGCCCTAAAACCATCTTTTGTAAAAGAATCACCAACTTTTTTCCCATATCCACCAATCTCATTTTTAAACAAGTAACAACATAAGCAAAACGCTGCATCTTTTTTAATACTATATTCTAACCATCCAGAATATGATGTAATAAACCATTCAGGATTAAAATGACGCAATTTTCCACCAAAATTTGTTTTTGGAAAAACAAACTCTCGAAGCTGACAAGGCCCTCTTTCAATGTAATGTCTTCTCACTCGATCACGTAAGTTAGGAGGATATTCTGAAATTTGTTTTCTTTCACCAGGATCACGTTCAAGAAGTTTCAAATCCAATATATTATCTTTGTGTGACGATTGAGAAGAATTGACATTATTATTAACCACTGAACATGAAGGGGAGCTTAGTGAAGGAGAACTAGAAGTAGAACCTGAAGAGGCCTGTGGCTTGAAGAATCTCTTGATCATCTTGACTCTAACTAAAATATCCTATAATCATAAGAAACAAATTAAATATTGCAGTAACGAATGTTAGTCAAAAGATCACTTTGCAACATATTAGTTTTTTTATTAATATTACAAAGCTTCCACTTTAATTAATTCTTGGAAGAAAAATATTTCAAAAAAAGAACAAACTATAGTTAATTAATGGCTTAATAATAGACAAAATCTGAATAGCTTTAGTACAAATTGTAGAGATCAAAATGTGTATTGGCTTTCATGAAAACATAGAGAAAATTAAATTAATTTGAAGGTGCAATTAATAACTTTCAGCGACTAACCTTTAAAGATCAATTTTTCTTTAATTTCTTGTACTCTTTTTATTTGCAATAAATACACCCCCTTTTTAAAATAAAATCTAGAATCCCAACTTCATATGTTAAATAAAAAATTGAAATTTATTAAATCTAGAAAAAGAAAAAATAATTATTAAAGTATATGGTCCCCAACTCCAAATCACAATGAATACTAATACACTAGTTTTGCAAAAAATGGTCATGAATAAAAATTTAAAAGATATTATTTCACATAATATTGTATAAAAGAAAAACAATTAAAAAAGAAGGAAGAGGAGGGAGATCGAAATACCTGTTGCAATGGAGTGGCAGCCTAAATGTTAAAAGCAGATATTGAAGAAGGAATGTAAACTTTTAAAACCCTAACTTTTCTTTGAAAGTTTGAATTAGGATTTGGAAGACGGAAGGGATTTGGAAGACAGAAGTTTGAGGAACCTTTTTTAGTGGTTGTTGACTTGTGTCCTTTTTAGTTTAAGTCAAGTCTTTGTTATTATTATTTTAATTAAATAAATAGAGTAAAGGTGAAGGCTAAAAGCTGTTACTTGACAAAAAGTGCATAAAACTTTGTGCCAAAAAATATGAAAAATGTAAAGTAAGCTGATGGGATTCGAACTTGCACTGTGGGTTAGGAAAATCATTTTGGGTTCCGCACCTTACCATTGAACCAGCAAAACACTATGTAACTGGGTTCCCATATAAATATTCTTATACATTTAATGATTTCTTAATATAAATACAGGGTCTAGGCAAAAGTTACTGGGTTCCCGGGAACCCATACCTATTACTGTAGATCCGCCCCTGCGTGGTTTACTTGGGGAATTTCACAGTTGGCCTCTTTTTTCTTCATTTTTGACTCCAAAAGTACTCCCTAGCCTTCCCTGATCATATATCACCTGCAAATCATGAAAAGTACTAATAAGAGCATTTTGTTATCACTTTTATCATCAAAACTATACAAGAAGGTGGTTATTTAAGGCGTGATTATAGTTAAATTTACCTATTATCAACACCCCATACTTAAACCTTTGCTCGTCCTCGAGCAAGTTAAACCACACTTCTAGGCCTAACCGTTTGATACATTACCCCAATTTATGAAACACTCGCCATTACTAAGGACCAACCTAAGCAATGCAATAATCATGCCTCAGATGCAGACTCTCATGCCATGCCACACTCGTGCTCACTCTAGTTACTCTAACAGAAGTGAAGATTCACCTTTTCTTCCTGAGTCACATGCCTCACATCACAAGTCTAAGAGAAGTTCCCCACACATAAAATTCAAACAATAAGGAACCAAGGGTAGAAAGAATTCACTCACTCTCAGCAAAGAGCATTTACATGCCTCACAGACACACCATAAGCTTGCCCCTAGTGTAATACTCCACTAATCGAGTTGTTTAGTCAAAGATCAAGAGGTCTTCATTTGGTTGTAATGTAGGCTACGAGTAGGATATATTTGGATATAGTGACTAACCTCCCTAAGCACTTTTAATACACACTTCCTTTTATTTCAATTTCCATGCTCAACCCAATCGTTCTTCCATGTTTTTGTTTCGCGTGTGACCCCCACTTCTCTTTAGGTGCAACTGGCTTCTTTTTTTTTTCTTTTTTTTGTTTTCTTTGTCTCATTTTTTGTTTACAATGCCTGTGCACCAATCAAACAATTCATTCTTGATTCCCCTTTTTTCGCTAACTCCCTACTACCCCACACTTTGACTTTTGTATGTTCTTCAGTGATTCAAGCGCTTCTAGGAGGTATAGGTTCAAACAATCAAGCTATTCAAACACAGAGATTTAGGTCATTATAGGGTTATCAAAGAACAGGCTTCAGGCTCAAAGGGGTTAACTATGACGATATATATAGGTGGATTCACAATTATATAGGGTTGCACAAAGAAATGCCTCAATCATCTCTAAAACCAAATAACTTCTATTTCGCTTTGCAAACACACAGGGCAAGTTCTAGGTATCGCATGCAGGCACAGAATGCAAATAATATCTCCCACACACTTAGCATGCAACTCATTCTGAATCAGTTCATCAACACACTCATACGAGCATTCAAGCAAGACAAGATGTGCAAAATTAAGGCATAGATTTATGAGTCCACAAGCGAGCCTAGACGTCACACTCTCAAGTTCGTTTTAGTTATTTGCAGGTGTGCATATCAGGGGTTGTATTCTAGCCTTCACCCATCTTAGTCCTAAAACTACAAAAGGAAAATCTACCTAACCCGGTTCAAGAAAAGCCCTTGGAAAAGAACCGTGGTCAAAAGAAAAACCAAGGGGGAAGTACTACACTACCTAGAAGAGAAAAATAAAAATAAAAAAAATTCTACATGGACTACTTCCCTCAAGATTACTGTCCAAGTGGTCCGTCCTCAGGAAGAGTCCTCTAACTTGTTTTCAGTTTAGATTAATTCCGACTTTGACCCTCAAGAGACCCGTCGACAAGTGTCCGTCGTTGGGCCAAGTCATCTACTCCTAATATAAGCACACTCAAATATATACAACACATCAATCTAATGCTACAGCACAAACAACGTCTATATACATTACAACACACAATCAGAGCAAGTCTCCCACCCCACACTTAAAATCATGGCATGTCCCCATGTCATATCAAGAAAGTAAAGAGTAGAAGGGTCAGAAGACTTCCCTGAGACTCAATCAGAGTCGGGGACGGTGCTGGGGTCTACATGGCAAGCTCTCCCCAATGCACGTAACCAGGCCATAAACCGGCTCTCAGATCTGGACTACCTCTGCGACATGGCATCCATCCGCGTGTGTAAGCTATCCACCGAGGTGCGGAGATCCGCGACCTCTTCCTCCAAGGAACGCAGCATAGGCTGGGTGGACTGTGAGCGGGATAGGCCTGCCCCAGTATGGGGGCGCCGAGAGGGTCCGGCACTGTCGGTAGACCTCCTGGACGGTGCAAGAGGAACCGGATCATCATCCTCATCATCTATCTCAATTGTTGTGTGTGTACCCCGGCCCATTCTGATGCCTGAGGCTCTGAATGTTGCTCTAGGGGGCAAGTCTCCATCGGCAGGATTGGTGGGGGTATTTCACAGCAGGCACAGTGTAGTCACCAAAGAAGGGAAGTAGAATCCCTTTGACAGCAGCGGCCCCCGTAGGACCATTTCATCACTAATTACCCTTGCCGCATCAAAATCCTTCTTCGTCACGAAGCACCATGTCAACAGTGCACACTGGAAGTTCACGTCAGTTGTGTTGCTTGAGGGCAGGAACCAGCTGCAGATGACAGTTAACCAATACTTAGCCAAGTGGGTGAATGAGTTGGAGTTCAGGGTGATTTGGTCAGGTATCCAGGTTGGTCGCCCCTCTGCGCAGAGTATATCAGTCATGACCTCCCATGTGACCCCTGGCCTATCGTGGTAGTAGTCGATGTCACTAGTGAACTGAGGCAGCCGCAACACCTGGCGAATCATGGGAATTGTGGCGCTGACCACCTTGCCTCGCACAATCACCTCCCTACTTAAGTTCAATGGGCAGTTGGCATAAAACTCCCTAACAAGCATCTTGTTGACCGGGGCAGGGTCATCAAATAAAAATTCCATTTCCCTCCTCCGAATTTCTTCATACATCTCTGCCTTTTCTACGCGGAGGGCTGCCCGGTCAAGCGAGATCTCATGGATGAAGTTCTTCGTAGCCTTGGCATTAAAGTCGTCCTCCGCTAGTTCTGATTGGAACCTGGATTCATCATATGTAGGCTGTTGGGATGCGCCTGCCGATCTCCTTTGTCTTTTAGGAGCCATAGTACCTGCAAAGAATTCAGAAGAACCATCAAATATATCCTTCCTGTGCCAATTGGATGGGTACTCAGACTTCACAACCCAATGGCACCATACACTTGCCCCCATTTATTTCATTCATACAAAGTGTCCATTCTCCACTACTAAGGTGTTCAAGGATAACAACCTCCACAAAGGCCCCACAATTTGCTTGCAATTTCCGGCATACAGCACCCCACACTTACTCCCTCAAGTGATTCACGTTAAATACAACACCACCATACACCAATTACAACACCGACATCCACCAAATACAACAACGCCACAACCTAGGTTAGGCATAAAATGCCTCAAAATTGTACAATAAATCCCCAATTTTCGGCCAA